TGCAGCTGGCTGGCGGCGCGGAGCAGGTGGCCGGGCTGCGGGGCCTTCGCTGGAGACACCCGCCTGCCGCGAGGTAAGGGACCCGCCTTGGCCTCCTGCGCCGCCCCCGGGACAAAGGGCCCCGCTCTCCGCTGTGCCCCGCGCGCGGGTGGCAGCATTAGCCCTGCGAGCTGGGCTCGCTTCAGGCACAGCGTGGGCGCGCCTGCCGGGGAGCGTGTGTGACCGGCGGTTGTTTGCCCAGGTAAAAGTTTCCTCTGGGTAGTTTGCGGGTGCGAGGTGAGACAGAGGGGACGGGTGTCGGAATCTTCTCCAAATACCGCCCCCTTCTCCACACGGAGAAGGCTGCTAATTTTTTCAGTCTGGTCAACGCCTAGTCCACAACAAATTACGAATCGGACAAACAACGTGGAACTAGGTCTCTGTAGTTGTGCAAGCGATTGTTGAATATCTCTTGTTGAGCCCCGAAGGAGTTTGACTTATCCCGGTCTCACGAAAGGACTGCTGGCACTACATGAGTGAGGTAGAGGTAGCACACCCTTTACAAAAATCGCCCTTCGTAGCCGAGTGACAGCTTTGTATTAAACAGACACTGCTCTCTTAAAATCATGTGTTGCAAACAGATATCACATGCTTTTAAATGGCTAGAGTCTGTTTTATTTAAGTTCTTGTTTACTTAACTTTAATTATACCAGCTACTTACCTTTTGTCTGTCTTTCCACTTGAGCAATGATTCCGCGGTCAATTTCACCATTGTACATACTGAGTTTCACTTTCAGGATCTTAATTTTGCAATATTTCGTTTAAGAATACTGCAAGGCAATATTTTAAAAAATTGAAGAAAAACTTCTGTGGGACTTAGTTTTTGCATATTTTTAATTAAAAAATGTGTGTGGATGGGTGTTTAAATTAATCTCTCTTGATTGCAGGAAACAGTCTCCCAGGACTGTTGGCTGGTATTTTGCCTGAATTTTTCTGACTTTTGTTGTTGTTGTTGTTGTAAATTGCATATCTTAATATTACATCAAAGACAGTGTTGGAAGTATCTGTCTATAATTATGTATAGTCAGCAGAGGTATGATAAAACAGTTGTTCACAGAATTTCTTTCCTACAGTGACTGTAGGAAAATATTTAGTGCAGATACAATCAAACTGCATTAGTAAGATAAGGACAACTTTTACTAAAATGGAACTTTCCTTTATCTTGACATCCTCCCTGAGCTGGCAGCAGTATTGTCTGTAGTGCTGCAGAGGGTGCTCTTCCATTGTTGTAATCACTTATTGCACAGGCAAGTAAGGAATGAAGTTTAAAAATCTGAAGGAAATGTCACTTTTCTTTACTAGAAAAAGTTGCCAGATGAGTTTGTGTGAGAGATCTTCTGATTTCATTTTGGTTGGAAAAGTGAGAAGAGGAAAGAATCTGCACAATATCTGGTTACTGTTGTGTATAAACTCTTGATTTGGCCCAGAGCCCAAAGCGAAAAGATGAGATTGATAAGCGGTCTTCTCCTGTAGGAGGTCTGCAGTGGGATTTTGGCCTGCCCTTTCCAATTGTCACTGTCTTTTTGCAGTCAGAAGTATGAGTAGAAGGAGAAAGAAGTATGTTTAAATGGATAGGGGGGGGAAAAAAAGTTGAGAAGTAGATGCAAATGTTTATAAACTCTGTAATGAATGTGCAGAATTTTGCCTGTAGTGCAGAGACACAGTACATTAGCTGTCTGTTTAAAGGCTGAATTGGAACTGCTTAACAATGCTCCTTAGTTGGGTATACAGTTATGGATTATGATTCTCATGAGAGCTTGAAGGGGTCTTACAATAGACTGATTACATATGGGTTTAGAGTTAGGAAGGGGGCAATAAGGCAGAGGTTAGAAAGCAAACAAACGAGTTGAGACATTATCAGTTTATTCTTGATGTTCTGTTTGTGCTTCAACAGCTGTTAGTGTCATCTGAGCTAACTAGTCCATGTTAATGTCCCTGGTATTAAAGGGCAGAGCTTTTATACGAGTGAACTGCAATTTTTGGAGGGTATTCCACATATACTCAAAATATAATATGAGGAATATCTTGTGATATCAGCTAAGAAGTCCAGTCTTTTCAGTACACATGCTTTTTAAAAATTACTTTGTTAAATGCTGACAAATGTCTTGCAGTATTTTGAAATTCATACAAATGAGAAAATAATAGCTGTTTGAAAATATAATGGAAAACTCTTGATCAGTTGTTCCCATTAGATCTGTAACTTACTTGAAGCTGCATAAATATCGAGAAGTCTTTTGGCACCTTTATAGACTAACAGATTTATTGGAGCATAAGCTTTCGTGGGCAGAGGCCCATTTTGTCAGAAGTGGGTCTTTGCCCACGAAAGCTTATGCTCCAATAAATCTGTTAGTCTATAAAGTGCCACAGGACTTCTTGTTATTTATGCAGACTCAGACTAACACGGCTACCCTTCTCTTCCTTGAACCTGTTTACAATAGTACGACTGAACTATATTTTAATTATAATGGACTATTATTCAGGGCCTAGCCGTACAACCAGAGGACCCCATTATGGCTCCATGTTCCACCCCTACTCCTATACTGTGAACCTGCCTCTGCACTTAGGAATAGCAGTGACAAGAGTCCCCATTCACCTTCCAGAGACACAGGGACAGTGGCATGTGGTCCCACTCTATTGAGGAGGGGCAGCAGGGGTTTCCTTCCCAAGAGGCAGGACTGGTAGCAGAAGGGATCCTCTGTTACTTTCTCTGCTGGGATATATGCTGGTTAGGGGGAGGGAGAGAGCCTGGGCAGTTGTACTCTTGTATTACATAGCCAAGACTATCCTAGCAGGACCATTTCCTAGCTGATACTCCATTGAGATGCCTGGGGTAGCTTGCTACTGTAAGAGGTATGATTTAGAGTCTCTCAAACAGGTTACTGTAAGGTGGATGGATAACCAACCATACTCAAACAGTAGTCATCAGTGGTTTGCTGTCAGATTGGGAGGGGGTTTCTAGTGGGGTCCCTCAGAGGCTAAGCCTGGGTCCAGTACTAGTCAGTTGTCACTAACTGGGTAACAGAGTATTCTTACAAAATTTGCAGATGATGACCAGCTAGGATGACTTGCAAGACAAAATTTGGTTCTGCATTATTTGGTTCTATAGCCACATGAGCTTCAATAGAATCCACAGCATACAAGTGTTCATGGGAGTGCTCTGAGCTCTTGGATTGGTTTTCTTTCCCATCCTGATGGCCAGCTCTTGCTTCAAGCTTTTGGGATATTGTCTATGATATAGAGTTATGTCAGTGTATACACCACAGGCTTGTCAACTGATGCTGAATGCCATACTACACTATCATAATAACTCCACTTTCTTGAGAGGTATAGGCCTTATGTCTGTGCAATTAAGGTGAAGTAGTATAGATGCATAGATACTGCATCACTTACTTTGGCTGTCTTGTCAATTTCAGGGCTCCAGCTTGAGCTGTGAAATTGACAAGAAATCCAGGCTGCTGGAACCTGAGTTTAGGATTACAGGCTTGTCACTTTTTTTAAAATAAAAATTAAAATACTTTTTCTTAAACAGTGGCGTTGTAATCTAGTTTTTATTGAAAGTTTAGTATTTCCATATGGAAATAGTTTTAAATGTACTGAATTCACTAACTATGATAAAATTATGCTTTTGGGGCTTGACAAATTTGTCCTCATTCGTGG